TAATAAGATGATTGCACTAATTAATGTGATTATAGGTCATAGAGAAGTAAACACAATTAAGAATATTATCCGTTTTATAGATACAAAAATAAGAATTTTATATTCTTGTTTTATATTTAAAGAACCTGAAACCAGAACTGTGCGTACGTATGAAGTAAGTCTGGTCGTTACCTTTGGCTTAATTATCATTATTATCTAATGGCTTTATTCCATATTATATCTTTGGTACAATATAGAATTCTCAGCACAGGGTATTTCAACAAGTTACTTACGCAAAAACACAGTAACAAATACAAAAAAGTTTTAAAAAAATCCCGAAAAACTGTACAACTTTTAAAATTAGAGACATATTAAGAATGCAGCTTATTGACTAGGTTAACGTTAACAACCTGTTCGTCACAGAGTATATTTGCTAGGTAAGGTATTATAGCACTTTTACACTTTTGCTTGCGTGCATGGATTTTAATGTAATTACGTCTCGTTCTACCAGAAGATATACAAGGAGAGAGATAAGAGTGAAGGGGATGGCTAGTATCTGATGAAATAACACCTGCCAGGAGTTTGCATGATTTTAAATGTCTATCCACAACCATATTATTTATGACCTCGAAAGATTCACCACACATCTTGCTAACTGCCTTCAGCACTCTTCGCAATACAGCAAAGTCTTTTTTTCAAAAGGCCGGGAAAGAATAATGGAGAGCAGTAAAGAATAATAGGTAATATGCAAGAATTGACAAATTGTAAGAGTAAATGACGAGTAATCCCAAGAGCATGCAATCTCTTTATGTAGTAAGTCAGACGGAAAACCTTCTTTGATAACAATAAAACGTGGGAAGACCAAGAGAGATCAGAGGAAAAGGTGACACCAAGATAATTGACCTTCAACACTGTGTTTATCAAAGTCTCCAATGGCACAAGCATTATGGGATTTCAAAATGGTGTTTAGATGCCGTTCATGTCTCATGCTAAAGTTAACAGCTTGACATTTAGATGTATTTAGTATGAGACCATTACCAACAGACCAACAATCAATACGAGACAAAAACTCACTCATTTCTATGGGATGTAAAGAGAAAGAGATGGGCATACATACAGTGAGATCATTCGCATATTTCACAAAAAAGTTTTCTGTGGGAGATGGCAGATCATGCAGAAAAAAAGAAAAAAGAAGAGGTGAAAGAACAGCTCCTTGTGGTACACCTTCATGAGACAGTAGAGACTCTGAACACTTTCCTCCAAATAGTGTACTGTTCCCTTCCAGAGAGGTAGAGACATAGCCAGTTGGTTATCCAGCTGTCATTGTTGACGCTGATTAACTTGGTAAGTAAATGTTGTCTTGGTATAAAATCAAAAGCTAAAGTATAGTCCAGAAAAGCACATCGAACATACTTCTTACCCTTTTCTAAGTTGAACAATGTTGTGATACAGAACAGCAACAGCATCTAAGGTGCTTCATTTGCATCTGTAAGCAAACTGATATGGATCAATATGCTTTTTTATCGCAGGCTGAAGTGGAAGTATTAATAAATACTCATCATATCACCTTATTTATTTTTACATCTGTATATTAACTTTATTCACTGTAACAAAGTCACCAATTTACTTATTATATATTGAAATTAAACGTCATTATACCTAATTATGAATTGATACAATCGACCTTATTCAGTATTAATCTGTATAATCGAGATAGAAATTTATTTCGTCAGACGACGTAGGCTTGTTCATTGACACTTAATACAACCAATATTTCAAATACTTGTCAAAAATGGTTATTATCAGAATGGATTTTGTTGAGATTTTTAGAAATTTCACTGGTTGAAATCATGAGTTAATTAAAACTAGACCACCATGGAAAACCTGGAATTACTAGACGACCGTTTCGCTCTAGTATGGGACTCCTCAGCAGTGCGCATCCAAGATCCCGCACCCCTGAGATTCGAATCCAGGAACTATGTCTCGCGCCAGGCGCTTAACCAACTAGACCGCTGAGTCGGCATTCAACGGTGTCAATGGCTAACTTCAACCAATCCAGGAAGTTGCGCCACCGTACACCATTGTCTTCAGTGAGATGATATCTCACAACAGACCTGAACTCTCACTAGAACTCGAGGAGTGTCTCCTGAAGTCAGTCACTAGTGAGCAGGTGATTATTATTATTAGAATGGGTTTTGTGGACATTTTAGAAATTTCATTGGTTGAAATCATGAAATCGTGGATGTGTACTCCTGAGGAGTCCCATACTAGGACGAAACCGCCACCCAGTGCTTCCAGGTTTTCCATGGAGGTCTAGCTTCAATTGACTCATGATTTCAACCAGCGAAAAATGGTTATATTCATAATGTATATATATTTCAGGTTTCATATTATAAAGAACAATATTCACACATGACGGAAATGTACATACAGTTTCTTTTTTATTGTTTCTCTATTATGTTTCACAAAGATAGTCGATGATTTTCAAATATCATTCCATACCTTATAAATAAGTAACGTTTGCAATGTCATTAACATATGACATTTACTAATTCATGTAAACAGTTTGCTAGACTGAAAACTTAGAAAATATTTGCTATTGAAATAACGTGAAAATAAAAAGCCTAACGCTCACTTCCTAAACCCGATAACCCATTTACATGACTGTTTAAACACACAAGTATTTATTATCATATTTATAAACGGTTGAACTACAAAGAATATACAGGTAAAAACAATGAACACTTTTAATGAATTAACAAAATAACCCTATTGAAATCTAACATTTTATTAACGAAATCGTTTATAAAGTGAAAGTAAACAACTATTTTGTATTAAGAATTACTATTTACATTATAAACCAATCATAAATATGAATTGACTCTTTCTGAGTAATTATTACTTCTTTGAGATCGCTTAAAAGTGATTTAATTTACCGGTCTTTCACGGTTCGCGTGATTTATGCATGCCGTAATCAGTATTTCATCATGATGATTTATTATTTTTTTAATTAACATACCATGTGTTAAGAGAAAAACTTATGAACACACTTAGATGATAATTGGTTTATTAATTGCGTATTAAACAATTGACTACCTTTCTACTTCAGTAATCAATATCAAATATTCAAATCGGTTCTCAGTTCTTTTTTCCAAAATTTTGTTGGGCACGATATATCCCAAAAACTTATAGTTTGTAATTTTATCTTTGTGGAGCTTGTATGCAGATGTATACGTGGGCATTCCTTACCACATACGCACATAGTCCATTGATGAACTTATCGATCAAATGTTTAAAAGCTCCATGGAATATATATATACGTTTTAAAAAACTTGTTTGTGGGCTTGCTCGTTTTCTGGCTGTTTGCAGAATATATTTTCCATACCAAGCTTGGACTTCTCCTTCTAGATAGTGGGGTTGGAACGCATTGATAGCTAGATTACTGGCCTTTGGTCACTGAGTCTTGTTCTCGTTTGCAGATTAAGTGAACTCGTGAAGTTTCGAACCTAACAAACTTTTTTTTTATGAGATACATTTAATTAATCGTGTCAAGATAACTAACGACTTCAATTCAACGTCTACTTGAGCGGAAAACAAAAATTTATCCCAATACACATTCACTAACAGTAGTATTACACGGTAGTGAAATTGAGTTGGTGTATTTTTCTTCGAAATGCAAATTATGACATGCAATCAAAGCACTTGATGCTATTTCGATTCCAACTAATCAGATTGCAAAGACGAACAGTTTACGATCAATTACAACATTATTAAAGGTGACAAAATTTTTGTTCATTATCACTTGAGTACACACTTGCAAAACAAATACACCAATCACTAAACTTTCTTTTCACACCCTACAATTTCTAAGAAATGGGTGGTAGGGAATCATAATTGCCATCCATTTAATGTCAACCCTAATAGTTTAACGCCATCACTAAATAACGATCGGGATGCAGATGGTGCAAACGACTTATAGCTTTGATCTTGAAAAGAAACCCACTTTAGTAAACTTCTTTGGATAAAGTCTAGTGCAAAGTAAAATAACCTCGTCTTTGGACAACATACATTTTCTGTATGTCATTTATTGCCAACAGTTACAAAAGATGTTATTTCTCCATGACCTAAGGTTCTGTAAGTGATCATTATTTATAACATTTTCTTTTAAATGAGCAAAAATCTAGTCAAAAATATGGATACCCATAACAGATTATTCGTAATTGGGTTTTAAAGATCACAATTTAAATCACCAACCTGTATCTTAGTTCTGAGTAGTCATCTACATTGATTTCAATAACATTAGTACAGTTTATTTTCACTGAGTTTAACTGACCGCTTCGAGATTGATATTGAAGTCTTGGTTTTGAATAACATGTAAAATGCCCTTCAGTAAACAAATATATATATATTGTATAATGAGTAGGTAACTGTATTGTTGGGTTTCTATACTCTCCTTATTATGTGCTTTCAGTGAAGCTATTAACTGTTGCTATATGTTTTACTAACCCTTAGTTATTGCTAAGTAATTATGTATTCTTAGCTCCGTCTTCCACCACTTATTGTATAAGTTTTAAATCATGATTAAATTGGGTAAAATAGAGAACTAGTGTGCTTCCTATTTGTGTCTTCTACTCAGCTACTTGGTTTTAAGTGGCTTGAGAACAAATAAGCATCAAGATCTCAGCTGTTAGAATATGTCATTGGTTTTACTAACGATATAGCACGCAATATCGATCCAAATAGCAAGTTATGATAAATCAGAATTCTTAAAACAGAACAATGAAAGCATAATATGTAGACTTTATACTAACCATTACGACAGTATCTACCGGCGTGAAAAGTCGGCTAGAAACGATTTCTCCCGCACACGTGTGCACATACACATACACACACAAAAAGGCAGAGAGTAGAAAAGGAAACAGTATTTTGAAAAGTACAGTTATTGTATACAAAACTCCATCACTGTATTACTATCGTATATTAGATAACAATGGGTAATATTTATGTATATTAGTATTCCACTATATATTGATAACCTGACTCAGTTTTTGAATTCGATTCAGTAGAATATCACCTTGTTTAATCATAGTCTAAAAAGTAGAAAAGAGAATAGAATTAATGAAGGGACTAAAGATAATGACATATTTTTACATATATAACGTGTGATGTTGACAGTCTGTAATGTTATGTAGTCACCAAATTTTCATTATCAGTTAAGATAGGAGTATATATTGAAAGGTTTGAAGTAGTCAGATTATAAGATGTAACATTGAACAGTGGATTCATAATTACCATTGGATTTCAGTTCAGTGGACTAGATATTTGGCGCTCGTGCAAAGGTGAAGGTTCTGAGTTCGATCAACCGTGGTAGAGTCGTGGATGTTCACTACCGAGAAGTCCAGTACTAGGAACGTAACAGCTATCCAATGCTTTCGGGTTTTCAATGGCTGTCTACATCAGGTCAATAAGTGATCATAATAACATTCAATAATCTCCACAAACCCTTATACTGCCAATTCACTTGATAATGGGTTTGGATCATGTAGGTAGGCAGGTGTTTGGTTGACACTTATGGATGACAGCAGTAACACATCATATTTTCTTTACAATGGCTGATACCATTATTTATTGATCTATTCTTATGATGAAAATAGTATGATGTTACACGTTTTTTAGTTTATCATCCGGGAAATATGAATAAAAGAATGATGACTGCAAAATATGTACGTAATTTTAATTATTGCTGTTGTTTAAAAATTCAGTGGTCTGTTACGATTAACAAAAGAAACGTCACACGCGTGGCTTTTGAGTTGTCCGGGTTCGGTTATGGTATTACAACGAAAATAAGAATAAGTGAATTTATTTGTCAAGTACAGGTTTATGTACTTAGTTCTTAGTCACACCTTATATGAAGATTAGTGGCACTACTAACCGATAATACTTAAATCAAAGTAGATGGAATGAAAACATCGACACTTAAAATTACAACTAAATCTTGTCAGAGGAACATATCGTTCCGATTAATCTAGTCTTCAGTGACAAGTCAATTCTATCGATGAAGTCGCAATGTGGCCACTTCTTTAAATAATTTGATATCATGCATATTACATTCGTATGTTAGGTGGAATTATTTAACACACCCAACAAATGTCTTTGTCTCTAAGACCGTTTAAAAACAGGAATGGCTGGTGTGATTCAAGCTTAGCTTGGTCTGCAATTGAGATGACTCAACTACTGGACTGAAAAAAGATGTATATATATGGGATATGACACGGTTATGGATCATATGAGGTTGCGGTTACACGTTACTGACAGTTTTCAGACAAGGGCTGAAAAACCAGCTCCTACAACTGCTTAGAGTTTTCGATTAAAATGAAGTAAATTTCACTTATAAAAACTCAGTGAATTTATCCTTTGCAATGAACGCGAGAAAAATCACGGTTTAGGTCAACCCTGATTAACTAGGTGTAGTGTCCAGTACTAAGTCACACCTACATGAATTAATCCAGATTTCAGACAGACCAATTAATTTACCCTTTTAAGTTATTATCCACATACGTATTTTGATTTTGTCAATCGTCGGCCTATACCTTGACTATTTTTGAATAAGCGTACGTGTGTATCGCTTACCCCATTCATTACATTTCTTTAGCTTATTTTTGTCTGGTTATAAGTACTGGATCACAACTTATCAGATGGATTTGGCACATTTGCCTTTTCCGTTTCGCCGCGTTTTCTCACTACTCGTTTTAATGTCTGTCTGAGTAAACGAATACCTGAAATAAACTCGTCCAACTCAACCCGTATACGGCTTCTCACTACTGATGTCGCACAAACGGGTTTAGCCTAGGTATAATATACGGAATTAAACGGAAGATTTACGTTGATAGCACATTAATTCTTCCAAATCGGAGTCAGATCAACGGGTCACAAAGACACAGCTTAACAAACTAACAGATGTTTCACTCTAACCCAGAAACTTAACATACCTTTAAAGATTGAATTATGAAATTAAGAAATAAAAAACTAGAAGGATGTAGAACTAAAAAATAGGTACACAGATAGATAAATCTGTCTGATCTTAATATTTCCAGTGAAGAGTATTTTATATTTTACCCAAGTCAATTCACTCACATCATAATTTGAAAGAAAACAGATATAGTTTAGATTTTTTAATTAAACAGAAATCTATTGAAACGAGGAGGGTTAGGAAATCATTATTTTTATCTATAACTTGATAAGTCATATTAACTTGATTACATATTGAATATAGAAAATGACTTCATGTAGATTGTTAAGCAGTACTTATTCATATCATTGGAAGATAGTTGCGCGATACTGACCTGGAGACTTAAGTGTTCTCCACAAAGCCTGAAAGTCTTGAAATTGATCTCCTGGGGGATCATGGTTGAGCACTATTGTAGAGTTCCATGATAGAACGGGACAACTGTTTGGTGCTTCCTAGTTTACAATGGTCGCTTGACTAAGGCTAGTTTGTGATGTAAGCTATTAATTTGATCAGTTAGCTAATGGTTCTAACTTCCGAAATTCATTCATTGCAGATTTATGGATTAGCTGTCTGTAGAGGAAGTTATTAGTTTAGTGACTTTATCAATTCCACTAAATTCGTCAACCGATTGAGACGATATAACAAAATCATAATAAACTTATTAATCAACAAAAGATTGAAAAAAAATTACACACTGAAATGAATTTACCTGATATTGAAAATTCAAGTTATCTGGACGTGTTGTCTCAATAATACCTGAAACCTTATCCATTTTACAAGCTAATCGACCATTGGCTATGAAACGTGATAATTCAGCATCCAAAAATGCTGGAGTTACACCAAACGATGCGGCCATACTATCTAAACTTAAACTACTATATGAATCCAAATGTTGACTTAATGCATGAATACGCATTTCACGAACGTAGTAACATGTATGTAAGTGTAAATAACGATCACAACTCATGAACTGTTCAACTCCAGCTAAAAAAGAAAAGGGAACAAGGTAGGAGAAAATACATTGAGTAGTAAATGAACAATAAGAAAGTCATAATTAATAGGTGTGTAGATTAGTGATGATTGTACAGCTAATGGAACAGATTGTATATAGTTGACCATGAACCAAGCTTGTATAAAGGCTAGTTAGATACTGATAGATTAAGCCAATCCGAAAGTACTCGCAATTGCCCGAGAAATGGCTTGGGTATCTAAGCAATGAGACAAACATCACTGATGCCTTGATTTTCTAAAGGACATATATACATATACGTATATAAAAGGGATAGACATAAATGTCCCATAAGTTAGTCAATAAAAGCTTTCTCATTTATGTAGCCGGTTGGGTTCATGTATAGGACGATTGGGTATCATTATTGAAATCGGACACATGTCACAATAGATATTATACGTTTGCTCAGACTAAAATAAATGAACTGTGGTTTGAATCTACGATCTACTGATAATGAGCCGGATTAGACCGTATAGACATGGACTGATTTTTTTGAGAAGTGATTATATTTGGGCCTTTATAGTTGTTGACTTTTATTAGGTTTGGATAATTGGGTAGTATAACATTGTGGACTGTCTTACAATTAAATTAAATAAACCTGTATGCTTGACAAAGTTGTAATTTTTTATTAATTCAAAACAAATATATACTTGTACAGATTGGAACCAAAATACATATGCTTCACACAAATAACAAAATAAGATTGTGAATGAATAGAGATAATTGGAGTGGTGAATATAATCAAAAGACAGATGAACAGAAAATAAATGGATGGGTATATAATAGGACATTTCAATGTAAAACGGGAAGTAGAGAGGATACTTTTAGCTAAAGAAGCTTCTCTCACTTTTATGACGTACAGAAAAATTACAACAGGACCACCACTGGCTTCTATTATGTGTTGTCCGATAGTTTTAAACCACTGTATTGCATCATCTCTAGCACTCCAGCTACAGAGTCGTGATGGACAGATAGGTGACAGTTTTATACAGCTTACTTTCATAGCAGGTCACTATATCATAAACTAACAACCTCTCACTTTTGTTTTGGCTGTTTGAATCTTCGCATTGATGTTTAGGAATGCGATTGTCCATTCTCTGACCAACTCTGCTTATGACCACATCTCAGTTTTTTCCACTCAGCATTAGAGTCGCTAAATAATGCACGATGTGGAAGTCACTGGGATGACATTTGTAACATATGTTCAACTTGCAGATATCGTCTTTTCAAGACTGACTAAATAACCTTCACTGCACCTGAACACAAATTAGCGAACCTCAATATGACTAAAATGGTATTACTACTAGATGTCAGCAATTCTTCGGAATCAAAAATGACCGAACACAGAGGACATAGATCACAAATGTTCTCCCCAACGCGTTGTAAACCTAACCTCTAACAGCCAGACTACCATCACAACAGCGCTAAAGATGAGCCAGATTGGGGTAAACTATTATGGTCTTCACTATACGTAGATTAGTCTAATAATTCAAACCACGAGGAGCAGTCACATAACTACTGAGATGGATTAACTTCTCAACTACTCCTGATAGATCACCAAGCATGTACTTCTATCAAAGCTGTTTCCAGAGTTCCATTGTAACTGAACTCTGATTTTGGTTACAGTTTTAGAGGTAAAATGTTGACAAGACCCCATGGTGTAATGATAAATATTTAACATTAAAAGGCAACACAAGCTAACAAGTTAGACTTAAAATAAATCCATAAACTTTTGTCATGATAACGGTTAGAGACATGTTTAAAAACTTTATTGACATACTTAACTGATCGCCCGCTAAAACATTATCCAAGAATAAATTAATCAACATTTAAAATTTACTACAGAACACTCAGGTTGTTGTTTTATTCGCTGGAAATTTAAAAAGTACGGTAAATAACAATAGACTGACTAACCAAGTGAAAGGAAGAAGTCAGCATAACGACAATCAAATAAGGACATGAGATATTCACGTACAGTAGGTAATCCATGCAGAACTTCTTGAATTTCTGATCCACGAACAACCTGAAAGCAAATATATATATATATATATATATATATATATATAACTGTAGGCATGGATCACTTTATTGAACACTGGGCGGAAACCAATGTCGTATTAGCTTATTCCTCAGTGCTGATCGAATTCTATCGATGAAGTTACGATCTGACTACTAGTCCAAGTGACTCAACATGATATGCTCAATAGACAGTTAGGAGTCAACAGGAAATCCTAGGCCTTGTTTTTGCGCACGCGATACTGAACCACTCAGACTAGTGTGGACGCTGTGATTTCATCTATAGAATTCGAATACCACTAAGAGACTAGACAAATATGACATTGGTTACTAATCAGTGATCAATGAATCTAAATATCTGTCCTATAGGTCGTTAATAGTCAGAAAAGCTCAGTGATAAGGTTTGAAACTATGGTGTATGTTAGCTTGTCGTGAAAAGCTAATCATTTGTCACTTAAAGATAGATGTGAACAAGATATGACGGTAACCAATAAGTAGAGAAAATTATGACTGACAATCACATCAATTCAAAACGCCATAGTGTTTTACATCGACGTCACCTATAAGGTAAGTTGTAGTCAGCTACAGTAAATTATTTATTATTTTATTTGAACACATGAATATTGGTACAAAAGAGCGCCAATATATATGCGCCACACAAAACAATGAGAATTCGAAGAGAAGTAGAAAAAAAAACTAAGGAGCGCAAAAGAAAAAGAGAACAACGACGAAGAGATTGGAGTAAGGTAGAATGGTAGTAACGACGGAACGAAAAGGTACAATCAGAAGAAATCTTTCAGGTAAAGGAGACACAACCACTTTTTATGAAGAAAGTAAAAGAAGGTTACAGCAGGATCGCCACTGGCTTCTATTCTGAGCCATATCTGATAACGTCTCTAGCCACTGTGTAGCACCATCTCCCAGACCCCAACCAGGGAGTCGTGAAGGACCAACACAAGCCAGTCCATTGCAGCTTTCTTTCATACCACGACACCATGTCATGCACTGACCACCTCTCCGCTTCTTCCAACCAGTCCCAGAGTCGGCAAATAATGCACGACGTGGAATTCTCTGGGACGACATTCGTAGAACATGCCCAAGCCACCGAAGTCGGTGTTTCAAGATGGTGACACCAATTGAATTATCATCTCTGTGCCCGAACACACGATGCCGAACCTCTTCATTACTGACATGGTGTTGCCACTGAATGTCAGCAATCCTTCGGAGACAGCGATGATCGAACACAGAGAGTCGTCTAACGTCCTCAACTCGGAGAGACCAGGTTTCACAAGCATAGAGCAAAACTGCTCTCACCGACGCGTTGTAGATCCGGCCTTTTACAGCCAGACTAACATCACGAAGGCGCCAAAGGTGGCCCAGATTGGCATAAGCCGCTCTGGCTTTCACTATTCGTGCATTGATCTCATCACTCACACCACCACCAGCACTTATGCAGCTACCCAGATACACGAAATTCTCGACTACTTCTATCTGCTCACCGTCCAGGGTGAGTACAGGATTAGAATCCTGCCAGTCTTGTAGAAGTACTTTGCACTTCGAAGGTGCAAAGCACATACCATACCTACGGACACTGATTGCCAACTGATTAAGTGCGGATTGCATGCCTTGGGCATTATGGCACAGTAAGACAATATCGTCCGCATACTCAAGGTCAAGAAGTCTTTCTCCAGGCATCGTAAGGAGATGCAGTCCCATGGTAGCCGGTGACCAACGATTGGTTCATACGCCATTTGTTCCCGCAGGATACTGGAGCCCATGTGCACCATTGATTTGGAATCCGGTTAAAGCGCCGGACATTCGCTTTTCGTCCTCTCATTTTCGTAAACAACACCCCCGCCACGAGAAGGCAATGAGTAGGACTTCCCTGTCAGAGGCTGTATACGCGTGGCCGTGTGAGAGTAATAATAATTTTACTACGATATTCGACTGTACAATAGTTACCACATAAAACTCTGTAATAGAATGCAGTTACACTGAGGAATATTATGTATGTCAAAATATCATGAAGCTCAGCCCAAAGTAATATGATGTTAAGAACTATTAGGATCTCATTACCGGTTGTGACGGATTCTAACCTTTACATGATAGCACACAAATTCACCTTATACTCTAAAAGTACAAACTTTTTATAATATACTAATCTTCACAGTACACAAAATAGCCAACAAAGAGATAAAAAAAGTCCATTTCTAAAAACTGTCATTAAAAACAATTATCAAATGTAGGTAGTGGAAAGCGAACAAGTGTCAGATAAATTTACCTTTTCTCGAAGATCCGGGCGTTTAAGTGCAATCATTGCAGACATAACTGTATATATGATAAACGTTTTATAATCCATTAACTCATAACTAGTAAATGTGGCGACAGCATCAAGGAAGTTCTTAGCAGCAGTATCGAAATCTCGAACTGACATACTATATAAACCACGGTAAACTTTAAGTCGATTTCGTCTATCCCAATCTCCACCTTCTTCAATTAGGCTATCATTAACATTCTAAGTATTGTGAGAAAAAAGTCATACCTGTTTGCCTTTTCTATGTTCTTTGTAACCAAATCTCTATCTCCAAAAAGAATCCAATTCGTATGATATGGAAAATTGTGTCTAATCGAAAGCCAGGCATTAAGGTTTTATCCAAAATCAGTCGAAATTGGGACAGAGAACCTTCCTGGGTGACACAAGTTACATCAGTCTACTTAAGTCACTCATTACCTTGTCACCAATCTTACTAAGATAGTGAGCTTTTTCCATCATGGCGGTTCTGATTTCTGTATCACCTAGATTCTCTTCCGCATCTTTAATCTTTGCATCTAACTCCTTAATTTTGGCTTCATTTACTGACTGCATAGATTTCAAGATTCGTTGGTCAATTGGTAGATTAAGCTCTTTACACACAAGTTCGTAATATGGAGCCATATCTGAAAATAAAACACAACAATCTCAGAGATTGGACGATAGAGAAAGAAAAACTTATTAACTAAGGTGTGAAGTGACTGACTGGTGCTCAGTTACGTAAAGTACAAGAACTATCCCAGGAAAACATTATTGGACCCTGGGTTCTTATGTCCATTAGTTCCACCAATAAAATCCCTAAATTGAACACATAAGTTTAGAAATTTAGTCATGAACCACAGACACGGGAAAGCAATGATATGTTAGATACAGGCCAAGGTTTTTTCCAAAAACTGAATATGTATTATTTTTGGACACAATGAATCAATGATCAACGACTAAACAATATAGCTTGCAACTTAGTTTTCATAAGTATACAGACTTGGTGCAAACTGTGAAATCTACTAACTTCATCAGGTATAAGATATTTTCAACTAAGAAGTGGAACAGAATATCACCAACAATAAGACGACCGTAAGGATCGAAAATGAAGTAAGACATTAACACACTTCTATAACGAAATTTATATGACTAACGGAATGTGTGAAATAGGAAGAAGAGACTATCTGTGTGCTATAAAAGCGAGGAGACGGTTGTCAACTTGCCAGTTTATAATAAAATTAGCTTCCGTAAACTCTAGATAACTGTTAGGACCGGCGAGTTGGGATTAACTTTCCGTCTTATTAATCCGTCAGTGTAAGATCTGGTAAAAAAAGTATATAAGTTTAATTCGCAATACAAAATCAGTACCACGAGGTTATATTACCAAGATGAACAGAAAAAGTCTAGACAATCGTAGTAGTAAGTATATAAAACGCTTGACAACACTTATGGGATAATGTGATGATTTTTAGAGTGAATCGACTTATACTGACTATTCTATTTGTGCTAAAATTGGGATGTCGTTAATCTGAAGAACGCTTCCAATTTTGGTTGTAATCTATAAGTATATCAACTACGTGCTGGTAGTTTTAGGATGGAGAGTCAATTTGACCTAAACGTAATGTAACTAACGTCAAGTCCAAGTTGTTGGTGTAATGGATTTGAAGGAACTTTTAAAAAATAAACGAAAAGAAACTTACTATCATCCTGAATACATTTGGTGATTTTCTCCAGAAGCTGCTTACGCAAAAGTTCAAATGTTTTTTCTAAGCCAGCACGAAATGTCCATTGCGCTAGCTTAAGGTTGGGGATCTTCTCAAGACCTTCATCTTCCAGGCGTTCCAGGGGCATTTTATGGCCTCACACTGACCGTGCAAAAGACTTGAGAAACCCGCCGCCCCAAGGTTGGTTATCATGAAGGTTATTCACATCTCAATCGATAAATGGACGAAACGTTAAAAAACTGTTCTTTTTTACTGCTCCCTCAAAAATAAGATTTATTATGGTTTTCTTATTTGTTTGTTTCCGTCTTATGCTTCGTAGGCGTGATACTTGTGAACTTGATTGGCGCGTGATGTTGCGATGACTATGAAATTTATTAACAGGCGCCCCAGTAAAAACATTGCTACCGTTTGCTTATATATGCTGTTCCGGCATCTGGTGAAATTTCCTCGGAAACATGGGTGTGAATAAAGACATAGATCATTCTTGTTGCTGAAGTCTTCTCTCACCCGAAAGTTAGAAATTTTCTCTATATTTCACCATTAGGGAGAAGCGTTTTGAAATTAGGTGTGATTAGTCTCATTTACCCGCATATGCAAGCCATATAGTCGTCAACATTAGGACAGCGCATCTACGATTTGTGGCAAGTAGACTGTCCGCTAAAATTAATACGATTGTACTTTATATTTTCCCATGGATTTACTTTTATTCCTCCGTGGTGTTTGAATTAATTAATGATTCCTTTGTACTTGTTGAATGATAGATTTCGAATTCCAAACACAATACATTCGTTTGTGCTCATCTAGTACTTCTTGATTAGATTGCATTAATTCCGGGATTCCTAGTTCATTCGATAATTCAAATACTTTCAAACATTATATCCTCTAAATTGTTTGCTAGAGTTGACAGCTGCTAATCAAAGAACGTTTTGTAGCGGTAAATAATTCTCAAAATAAATAGCTCTGTAAGTTTTCGATATTGGATGCTGACCACATGTTTTAATGAACTCATCTAGCTGAAGGCCCTCAGCCATGCATCCGCACCAGATCATGTGTGGGAACGCCGTGCTCAACTGCTACTGTAATCACTAGCCAGATTAGATCAGATAATTCCGATATATTGACAATCGTCAAATACAATTTCTGATCTCCTCGATTCTGTCTTTTGATTTCTCTTGGTGGGTACGAGTTATATTAGAAGGTGTTACTGGTAAAAGCGTTGTCAAACTCAGGTGGATGATTTTGATGGAGTTTTGTTCTCTGAGCTGGATGGTTTGGTCGTGGAGCTTTCATCGTTCTTCTGAACGACATCATCAGCACAAACTTCAGATAGAAGTGAAGTGTTCGAATTTCTCCATATGTGTTTCACAGCTTGTTCTGTGCACCTCGATGTTGATTGGTTCTTGTTGACCTTAAATTTATCATTGTTTACTTCTTTGTTTTGGTTGTGTCTCCCATTGGTTTGATTTTTGTTCCCATATTTATGCATGGTTTTCCTGATTGGTTGATAAATTGGATTGATTTCAATATGTTTGTTGATTGCTGATTGACCTGAGTGCCAGGCTTCTAGAAATTCTCTGGTGTTTTTGGAGTTTCCTCTGTCTAAGATTTCTACATTTTCCCAATCGAATGAGTGTCCGTAGTTATCCACGTGTATTGAAATAAGTGAAGAAATATCATGGCGTTTGACTGCTAATTGATGTTCATGTAGGCGTAGGTGGAGGGGACGTCCGCTTTGTCCGATGTAGTGTTTGTCGCAGTTGGTACAGTTTATTTTGCAGATAATGTTTGATTTGTTCTCCTTTGTTATTTCATCTTTTGGTTTGCATAAGATTGATTGTAGTGATTTTGTTGGTTTGTGTGCCACACCTATCCCGAAGGTTTTCAGCAGTCTCGTTGCAGTTTCTGATATTCCTTGTATGTACGGTAGGGTGATCCTTTTACTGATTTTTGTGCCTGACTTGGGTTGTGATGCTGTGTGCCGTTGGTGCTTTTTGATAAAGTTGATTGGGTAGCCGTTCTTTTGAAATATGTCCTTCAGGTATTTCTCTTCATTTCTTCGTGCTGCCAGTGTGCTGCAGTGTGTCCTCGCCCTCTTGAACAATGTGTGTACGCAGTTGATTTTGTGAGCCCTTGGGTTGTTGCTGTTGTAGTTGAGAATTTGATCTGTATGGGTTGGTTTCCTATATACTTGAGTTTCCAGTTTTCCTGTATCAGTTCTAGTGATCAATATATCCAAAAATGCTAGTTGGTTGTTTGACTCCTGTTCCATTGTGAACTTGATGTCATTGAAAACGTTGTTGATCAGTTTGTATGTGTTTTCCAGTTCATCCTTTTTGACGATGACGTTGTCAAACACTGAATACCTGTGCCATCTTTAGCTTCTAACATTGTAAGCCCACTTGTTTGTTTAGATGCATCTGTTGATGATAGAAACGGGTTTTTAGTGACTGAGAGAAAAAAAGGAAGAAGAGTGCAGTTTTGTTACTTTGTGACAATTTTGTAATATTAAACCTTAAACTCTAAATTATCGTATTGATGGATGTACACTTTGTTGAAAGGTCCATGACTGAAAAGTCAGTAACGTAGTTCTTTGTCTTGCATTGTCAACTTTTATGTTAATACGGCTACCTTTTCAGTTTCTCTGGCTTTACCGAAACAACTCATTGATTGATTTAATTTTACACTGCCTGATGCTAGGTGAATCAGGAGAGTCTACGTCGACAAATAGTGTTAGACATTACAGAACACGAGTCTATGGAATCATTTCAACAATACTGAACGCCTCAGTTCAAGTATTTGAGAAGCCAAACGGCAAAGAACAGGTTCATCATACTATATCGGAATAGATAGCCACGAAGAAATGGTTTGATTTTTTGGAAGAAAATTCTGTCCGTGTTTTTTCACGAGCTATTGATTTTGAGAAATGGAATCGTTTTTTCAGGACTAAAATGTTTTGAACTGGTTTGAGATTGACTTTTAAATGGTCACTGAACGGATTTTTCCACTTATATTTAAGTACAATCTGTGTTTGCCCAGATTCGTAGTGTTCTCAAGAACAAGGCTTTCGGTGATTGGTACACTATATTAGACGTTCATCTGTATTTGCTTTTTATATCTCGAATTTGCGAAAACGTTTTAGTCATCTAGTCGTAACGTTTATAATGAACACGCGGACCACACGGAGTGTTCGTCAGTTGAAAGCAAAAGCTAAATAGGCTTAAACTAAGTTAAGGTGACATAGTAGAGTGATTTTTCTTGCTCTTGTAGAGGTTAAGAAACCCCTCAAAGTAAATAGCTCTGTAAGTCTTCGACACTGGATGCTGGCCATATTAGTTTTAACTGACGCACTTAGCTGAAGGTGCTCGGTCATGCATCCACACCATATCACGAGTGGGAACGCCGTACTCAACAAACCCTCCAATCGCTAGCCAGATTAGATCAGTTGATCCTCGATATATTGATAGCCTATCAAATATATCTTTGAACCTCCTCACTTCTGTCTTTTGATTTCACTTGGTGAGTACGACTCATATTAGATGGTGTTACTGGTTAAAGCGTTGTCAAATTCCAAATACTTTTGGCATCTTCACCGTTAAGCTCAACGTGATCTGGTACAACAAATTGCAACCTGTGAGTATATTCCTTTTTGGAGTTCTGTAGATGATTGCTTTATGTTAATTTTTATATATTGTGATATATTTTCTTCGTGTTCTGCTACGCAGAAGCCGACTTTCACGTGCACAATTCCTCGCGGTAGTCAAGGCACTACCGAGCAAATTCAACAGATATGTAACACCTAGTATGTTTACTAGTGATGTTTCTAAACCTTACGAATCACTGAAACGATCTATCCTTAAACACGGAACCTAACTCATAGACAAAGTTTAGATCAACTCCTTTATAATATCGACCTGCAACACGGTTCTGCAACTGACATGTTGCAAAGAATGAGAGAGGTTATCGGCCAAAGAGTCTTCGATTATGGCCTATTCAAACAGCTTTTCTTATCCAAACTTCCTCAACAGGTGCAAGCTGTGCTGGTCTCGGTTCAAAACAATGCCTTAGACGATCTGGCTGCAACTGCTGAACGCATCCTTAAAATCCCGAAATTTTCTGATGCCGAGGTTTTTTCAGTCAAAGTAAAACCTCAAAGAATCCAGGACAACGTTACGGAATTATGTCATACTTTTACACGTTATCTTAGATTTCGTAACGATCGTAAACGGTCACACACACAGCGAAGAAGCACTTCACGTAAGCCACCTGTCTCTAGACCATGAGAGATAGATAACCCCGACCGGTGCTGGTATCATAATCAGTATGGAAAGTCCTCCAGAAATTGCGGAAAACCCTGCAACTTTCCGAACCCAGAATCAACTGACACAAAAAACAATTCGGGAAACTTCGAAGCCGGCACGCGTTAACGGCAACCGTAGCCGGCGAACATAGCCGTCTGCTATACGTCACAGATGTGATAACGAGAGTTCGCTACCTCGCCGACACTGGCTCAGAAGTTAGCGTTTTCCCAGTGAATTCTAATGACCGGCTCCACGAATCGGTTTTGAACCTACAGGTGGCAAACGGAAAGCCTATCGCTACATATGGTAAAATGTACGTTTACCTTAACGTGGGTTTACGCAAACCCGTCCACTGGATCCTTATTGTCGCAGATGTTTCTATGCCAATCATTGGCACAGACCTCCCACAACACCACTACCTCATCACCGATACGCGCGAACGGAGGCTAGTAGGCAGAAACACTGGTTTATCTGTTTGTGTGACTTCTTTTTCTTGTTGCAGATTATCTCCAGTCACACTTAGGCACACGATAGACCCATTCTATCGGCCATCACTAGATAAGGATTCTGAGATATACCAACTGCAACCGAAATTACCGTGTGTAACCAGGAATGTTACACATCACATCATGACTGCACTAGCTCCTGGATTCTGAAAAGCGCAATGACTGCCTCCCGAAAAGTCGAGGTTGGCTAAAAACGAATTCCATCACATGACACAGCTGGGAATCATTCGACCGTCAAACAGCCCATGGGCATCTTTGTTGCACATGGTCTCTACAAAGGACTGCAACGATTGGTGTTCAACTGGTGACTAACGGCAACTGAA